AAGCTGAAGCTGCAATTAAGAGTAGGAAATAGAGAAGAGGGTAACAGAGGTGTGAAAGCTGTTTATCCAGACTGAAATGAGAATATTGCAACAACATCGCGAGCATCTATTTCACTGTCACCAAGTCAGGCGTGCTCACACACTCAAACCCTTCACATTTGTCAGAAAGACTCATTAATTCCTGGTTCACCATCATGGTGTTAAAACAGCACGATATACTTGCACCTCTGCGAGATGCAGGCACACATCCCTCCCTGCATCAGCAGGGTCAGGCCCAACATGAGCAGCCCTTCACAAGCCATGTCTGGCCTCTGGGGTAAGTGGCACCAGCTTTTTTCAGGAAGGCTCTGGGCAGGTAAGAGGGAAATAATCACAGCAAGAAGTTCTTCCTACCAGCTAAGAAGCTAAATTGCTGCTGTGATAAGATCAACACATGTGCAAGAATTAAAGCAATACAAAACTACCTGTGCAAAGGACCTGAGAAAATCCAAAGCAAACATGGCTAAAAAAAAAAATAAAATGTGAGACTTAGAAGACATCCTTCAAAGAGATGAAAACACATCCAAATAAGGAAAATAGAACAGAATGGTTAGCTATAAAAGGCCAGAAACTATCTTCAGAAATATTTGAAAAAAAGGCATAAAAAGTAATAATAAATCTTTCTTCAAGCACCTCAGGAGCAGGAAACCTGCCAGAGCCTATGGAAAGGATATAAAAGGAATGCTCAGGAAAAAAGAAAAGAAGGTCATAGCAGAAAAACTAAATTAATTTTCTACATTTGTATTCAGAGCTTGGGCAGGCTCCCATGCTGCAGTGCTTACCCACAGAGAATCAACTGGGGGATTTGTCTTAAGCAGAAGTCTCAATAAAGCAAACCAAATGAACAGCGCAAAATTGCTGAGATGAAATGGTACTCAGGTAAAGAGCTCTAACAATATGCACGTATGACACAAAACCTCTCATACGGTGCTTCAGTGCTAGATGACTGGGAAGTGTATAACTACTGGCACAACAGCTTTTAAATTACTCCAGGATAAGTCTAGGAAGCCACATGTCACTGACTGGCATCTGTACCAGACAAATTAACAGAAACTCTTCTAAACAATAATGTAAGGGAAATAACAAAGTAAAGAGAAATATAACACACTGGGAAAAAAATCAACAGTTTTTCTGATGAGAAAGGGTGACTCAGAAACCTCCTGGAGCCACTTGAAAGAGTCAAGAGTACAAGAGATCTGGACAATATAGTTTACCAAACTGGAAATTCTTAACCTAAGCATCTCTGTGATGCTTAGAAGGTCTTTGTGTAGGTAAATAAATGGCCGCAGATTGGAACTAACTAAATAAATGAGAGGGTGTAGGAGGAGGCTCTGGGCTGGGGCACATGCTGCTCAAGTTGTTTGTAAATGACTTGGAAAGGATGTTAATGAAAAGAGGTTTTCAGAAATCAAGTTTTTCAGGCCTTGCCAGGTGAGGCTCAACCACTGCCACAGATAGGACCGAGGGCAAGACAGGTCCTTGTAGGCACCTGTGGGACTCCGGAGGTCTCCTACTGCAGTTCTCCAAGTGGCTCTCCCTTGGCAGCCTCCTGTTCTCCCGTATCTTCCCATCCAGGTTGGACCAGAGCATTATTCAGCAGGATAGAAAACTGGGAATTACATCCCTCCACTCTGAGAAATAACTCAAACACAGAATAATTAAACACTGAAGCACAAATTGCCTCATTCAAAACCCATTGAAGCTAACAGGAATCTCTCCACTGAATATAATTGCTTCAGTTTGGGTGCAAAATGCCTGAAAACATCACTGGCAATTGAAAGCCTTGCCTCTAGCTCCAAATACATATTCAGTAGGGTAGCATTACAGAACAGAATGCTACACAGCTATTGGGAGCTGCGGTCTATTAAACATCGCCCTGAGCTACTACAGTGATATTACATGTCACTGCAGCGACTAAAGATCAAGTACACTTTTATCCAAACAGAATAATATAAATTATATTGCTTGATTCTTCAAGCCAAAGAGGGCCTTGTGATCAAGGTAGTAACATATTTCAGGCTTAAGAAACGTAGTCAGAATCTCACAAATGCTCCAGAAAGTTAACAGAAATTACAGAGAAGAAAACACATTTTTTCTGGTTTTGTTACACAAATTAATGCTTAATAAAATATTTGTAATATTGGAGAGAGATTTCCAAATATTTCTAATTTCCCCAAAGCTCTTGGAAATAGGTATCCGTAACAATCTTTAATCAAACTATTTTCAGTATATAAAAGTAGCAGTAAACCTAAGAGGATTTTCTGAAGAGAAAGTACTGCTGAGAGAAAACAGCAACGTCCTGCAGCATGTTCATCTGAGAACTAAGGTACATCTCCAGACCACGACGGTACAGCAAGACAATGTTGTTTTAAATGTTTGGTATGCTTGTCAGAAGAAATCAGAAAACTCTTCAAAACGTTTCATGAAGCATGCGTCACTAATTTCCTATCAGGGAACTGCCGGGGAATACAGTGATATGTTTAGATCAGTTTTAAGTGCTGGAAAATTATGTTGACAAATTCAACAGCCAAAGGAGAGCTCTCATTTTTTAATAAAAGATGTCTTAAAGAGGGACATTTTTGAGATCTAAGCTCTGGTTAGAGAGCTACCTTTCAGCCACTGATCATTAGTATTTACTTAATCTGATGATTTTGTAAATAACTTTTGAACATTTTGCATTCAGTTACTATGGGTATATTTTACAACAGTCTTGACCTGTTGACTGAGAAGCAAAGGTAGAGCTATGGTAAACACAAAGCACGTTTAATTGCTATTTATGCCAAAATGCTAAAAGTTTCCTACAAAAATATGCATCTGTCTGACAGCACAGAACAGGTGAAAGAGCACAATCTGCTTTTTGATAACTTTTTGTTCCACATCTTCTAAGTTGCACTGAGCACGGTAGCAGTACTGAGCAGAAGTTACTTGAAATGGTCTTACAGTACATTTCAAAACTATTTGAAAGCCAATGTACAGTATTAAAATTTTTATTTAACTTCCTTTTCACGTCTACTCTTACATCAGAATTGCTGAACAAACTACCAGCATAATCAGGTTACTTTATCCACAATACATCAAATAAACTTTAGGGTAAGAATGAAAGCCTTTAAGCGCCTAGCTGAAAGACCTCCATCATCTGTTTTATCACTAGAGTGTAAAATGCACTCTGATTTACCTCACTGCATTTGTGTTCCTAACGGCAGGTTGTTCTCTCACAGGCACAGTGCTCTGGTCACAATTACTCATTTTTTTATTTTTATTTTTATATATTTTTTTTTGCTTGCAGAGAAAACTGTTCCGGAGGACAAAAAAAGTCCAGAAATACATAGATCTCTCATTTTTGTCTCATCTCATGCAAAAATGACCTCGCCATCTTTCTTCCCTCTTACTTTTACTTTATTTTTTATACAGCTATTTTACCAATAGTTTTAAGGACAGCATCAACACCTTCTGCCACAGCACGGAGCAGAGAACAAACACCTGCAAATAACATTTCCCCTGGTTACTGGAGTCACAGAATTTCCTTATTGTCAGAATTACACATGGGGAAAAGTCACGCTTAGCCACTTTAGAAAACCTAGTGCTGCTAAAACCAGAGGCTACCCTTAGGTAGGAGGTCTTCCAAACACATGCCAAACTCGACAATTGCCTGGTAAGCACCATGTATCACAGCAGTAACAGAGCACTGATCATTTTTATTAGTACTGAGGACACACAAGTCTAACCTTGCTGCCACTGACCTCAGTGAAAAATGTATCACCTTCAGTGGGATTATCGTTAGACCAGAAGTATCAAAATATTCCATTTGATTGAAATTATTGTGGAATTCCAATTCTTCAATACTAGCACACACACAATCCATTTATTCTGACAGGCACCTTCTGTGTGCAGAGACTTCCCTTCTAAAAGAGACCAATATTTAAGAGCTGGCCTCCATAGTTTTCCAATGATATCAGGAATATATTCTTTTAACTTAAAAAATAGCTGTCATATAAAAAATAAAAGTGTTTTGCCTTTAGGTAAATGCCCACAGGAAGTAGTGAAAACATCATTATATCCCATATAGGTGTAAAATGCCTGTACATCAGATTTTAGTAAACACATGGTTGCTGAGCAAAGTGCCCTTTTTAAATAAACTAAATAACAAACAATTTTGTATCAGCAAAGTTGCATAAATACAGTCGATTCACCATCATTATAACTCTCACTTATAATGGGAACATACGACCTCCATTTAGAACAATTCCCATAGCCATGGATATTTTTTCATTGGTAAGGATCCCTGTCACATAAAACATTTATATAATATCGGTCTGACTGTAAAAATGTACTCCCTGCTTTATGCAGTGGTAGTTCCTATATTCAGAATGGGAACCCTAGATTTTATTTTTCATTTCTTTATTGTTTCCTTTTCAAAATGCCATTTAAGTGTTGGTCAAATGCCAGTAAAGCCCGGAGACACACATTTTTCTTTTTTTGTAAATAATTCAAGAAATGGTACCAAACCAGACATTTCTTCAATATTCTGATGATACAAGTTTCCAAATAGCATTGTAAATGACCAAATACACTTAACATCTGCATGGATCATATAAGGAGATTGTTCTACTGAGGTTATACTGAAAATGTTTCCAACACATCAGATTACTTCTTGATGAGGAAAATACTGTCACATAATCACTGGCCAGGGTTATCCCATGTTTTGTTTCTCAATTCTATTTACATTTAATATTTTAAACGTTACACTGTAGATTTGGGGTATGGAGTTATAGTCAGCTACTGTGCCAGGGTCCATCTTCCATTATATGCTTACTTTTTGCTAAAAACCTTCAGCAGAATTTCTTTTAACAGTAGAAAAAAATAACTGAACACAAACAGCACAGTTGTATTGCTACAAATGAAATTAGTTTTGCACTCTTGGAAATTTCAACTGAGAGTTACATAAATATTCAATCACTTACTTTGGTAGAGTTTTCAAATGATTCTCCCTTAACTCCAAAATTCTCAATTTGACAAGTCTAGGAACATAATAGAAAATAATTAGTTCATTTTATGAATTAGTTCAGAAATCCATAAGAATGATTTGAAACTACTTATTTCAACAGTAACAAAAAAATGAATCTGCTTAATGTATAACAATAAGACAATAATATAACAATAATGTATAACAATAAATCCAGCTATTGATGGATTGAATATCGAATAAAATGCATTCAGAAACAAATAGCTTCATATGTACATAATTTTTCTTTTATGTCCTTATCTGGACTGTTCTGAAAAACTGACATACCTCAGTTTTTCATAACAACTCTAAACTATTTTTACTAATAATTCAAATGAGGTAAACAGAGGAAAAGTTAATTACTCTCAAACATTTCCAGATCTGTGAAAGAATAAAAACCTGCTATTGAGTTCACAACTGTCTTATGCATTTTTAGCTTTGACTTCTATACCTCCACACAGGCAGACTGATACTACAGAACAGGACATATGCCTAAGTGTTGGCATGAATCAGAACCTATATACAACAGTTCTTCACAATCCCATGTCATTTTGCAAACTCTAACTGGCATTATTTAAGCTGTGTGAAATCAACTGCTTCTGCAAAACTAGTTTGTAACTGTGTCATTTTTAAACAGAGACGTCACATCAGAGTCACACCATGTACGATTTTAGGCTCATAACATCATTTCTATAAGTATATATTTGTATGTGAGGAAAGTTAAAAAAAATACAACAAAGCCTTAAATAGTTCTCTGTCGAGCACAATACTGGTTTTCTCTTTCTTAAACCCCAGTCTTCCCAATAATATGCTTTTCTAGAAAGCTATGATTTTCCCTTTTTCCTTCCAAACAAAGCAGAAAACACTTTTAAATCCTACATTTGCACTTAACCAGGGCTTAAGGGAATGCTTTTAAATGAGAAATGTGGAGAGATGTTTATGTGATGCTCAGGAAGGCTCCATTCCTGACTTTATTCACATAGCTAAATGAGACTATAAGAGATTAACTGACGTTTTCTGTAGCAGAAGAGATAAAGAAAGCACTAAAATTTGGAGAAGAGCAATAAGAGAGATACAGTTAAAGAGCCACATGTGGTTATTAAAAAAAAAAAAGTGCAATTTCTGTACACTAATGTTGGAAGCTTCAGAAACATGACAAGGATTTGTAAAGGCAGGATACCAAAAAATGATATAGGAGCAGCATAATCATAATGGAGTAACAACCACACCTGGAACTAGTGTCATTTCATTTAGGTAAAATCTGCACTTGTAAAAAAAAAAGTGCTAGGAGATTTAGAATACTAGAAATGTCCTTAAGCATCAACGATTACTAGACAAAGTACCAGCAAAGCTTCAGAAGAGAATAATGAATATAAATTTACCATGAACAGAAACACTGCACAGCTGATAAATTGGGTGTTTCGTGCATTTATTTTTCCTTGACATTTGTACGTGTTGTATGATTGTGAACTGCAAAAGCAGTCTTCAGATTTACTCTGATATTCCAAATACTCATCTTCAGCTGGGCATTTTCTGCTCAGTATAACACCTAGCCTGAGCCCTGGGTCAGTGATGGGTCCACCAAGCAAATGCCAATAAAGCAGCACATTCCGCTGGCCAGCATCTGAGCATACCAATGTTGTTTCCAACACAAAATACGTCACTTCAGTGTTAATTTTGGAGTGCTGTGATGATATTGCCAGGGGAACAGTGAAATACACATGGGTAGCTAGGTGGACCAGGAAAAAACTAATACTGCATGAATTTTGGTAAAACATATCTATTTTGTCCCTTAATCCTGTCTTCTGGACAATATACATGTAATCTAGCAAACTGGAAGTTTCATTACCCAGCTGGACAGCCAGAGGGCAGAAAGGCTGCCCATTCCTGTTCCCTTAGCAGTGTAACAGAGGAGGGACAAACTTCGTGCTTCATCCAGACTCGAGCAGTGGAAGGATCCACTTTTAAATGGACAAATTGTCTTAACTTTGCTTTTTCTGCCCTTTGCTTCATCCTTTTCTAACACTTTTTGACTCAGTTTCTCCTGTATTTATTTTTACTCTCATTCCATATTCCTTCTGCTCTGCTGTCTTTTGAACCTTCTCCCTTGTTCTTCCTTTAATATTTTTGCTCTGCTTGCTTCACCATGCTCGGTCATTCCTTATCTACCTCTCTGACTCACGACATTCTTTCTGTTCACTTTTCAGTAGGTATAGACCATATTGTTATTTTCTGCCCTCCCCGCAATTTAATAACACATTTGATCAAGGACAGGCCTTTTCTCCAATTTCTATTTCTCTCTACTTTTTCCCTAAACCAGCAAAGTGCTTCACTTCATCAGAAAATTCTTGCTGACATAAAATTTTCTCCAACAACAATCATTCATCAAAATAGGGCTGAAGAGCAAAAATCTATACCTTCTGCTGTTTAAAAAAAATAAAAATAAAATAAATACAGTTTTAAAATGCTATCAGCCTCAAGTGAGTTCATACGAAAGAGCAATGTGCTTTGATGACTAATTCTTACCTTCCAAAGTTAGCAGGAAGAAACTCCAAAAAGGCATCATTTAGATAGAGCTGGGTCAAATTTAGAAGTTGTGTAAAGCCATCTGGCAGCCTAAAAAACAGTTAGAAGCTTAGTGCTCACACTGAAGTTGCTATGGAAACAATAACAATATATATTTAGAAAGAGAAAGATGACTTTCTCTCTCACCTTCTTTTTCTACCTAAATTATCAAGAACTTACTGAGCAACTTTTTACAGACATTTTTGACTGTTCTCATCTTTTCCACATTGCTATAACCACATCAAATTCAAATACTTTGCACATTCAAGTTATATCAGCTTCTTCTACATCCCTCGGTGAGGCTTTTAAGACAAAGGTGTTTTCTTTCTTTCTCGCTTTTTAAAATATTTAAAGTTTCATCTTTTCACTTCCTTCACTCCATTTTGTAAGTCATGAGATTACAAAAGAGATTGATGGTGGTTACTATCACAAGTTTTCAGCAAGAAAAAGGATTGCTAAAGTCCCAACCAAGAAATTATGGGAAGTGAGGATGCAGCACGGCTTGCTTCCCAAACACATCAATTGCCAGCCCCATGTCTAAAGGCTGCACTAAACAGACTGCTTTGCCAATGCTTTTCTTTCTCTACCATGTGGAGGAACACCATGTTTGTTACAGAACACAGAGATCTTTTCATAGGTACATCATCTTGGATTTTAAACAGTTAAAAAGAAATGTAGATTAATCTTGCAAATAAACTTGATACTGGTCTTTAAATTTCAGTTCACTTTGCATACATTTTCTGCACTTGCAGTATACAAACACAAGCTACTGATACTCACTTAGATACTGGATTGACACTGGCTTCAATAATTGTTAAACACTTACAACATTTAATATTTTCTGGAAAGTCTTGAATTCCTAAAAAAATATTGAAAGTATGATTATACACACATGAAAACTGTTCAGCTTGTTTCATAAATGAGTTCATTTGACATTTTCAAATCAGACATAAGCTATAACAGGAAAATAAATTTTCTAGTATTACACTCTAAAAGATATTTAAGCTATAAATAAGTGTACTGCAACAGCCAATATACCATGTACTAAAAATAGTCTGTTAATACTTGGTTTATGTAATCTTCTGGAGTTAGAGTGACATCATTTGTGCTGATATTTGTGCCTTCCATTTGTGTCCCAGCTGCTCATCTTTTCCTTTTTTGCTCCCCCCACCCCCCCCACCCCCTCTTCTCTACGTATATAATTCTGAGAGTCTCTAGGATTATATTGATAATAAATGTTTCAAAATTTCCAAGAGTGACTAAGTCTAATTTTCAAAACAAAAACACTTAAGTTCAGACATGAAAATGTTTTTAACCGTGTAAATATGTAAATATCTATTTTGGAAATACGTGTCAGCAAATCGGTCTGGCTATGTAAATCCAGTTGTTCATCTGCAGCCTTATATGCTTACTTACACTAGCAAACCTGGTCCACAAGAGTTCATTAAATACCAAGCCACTTTGGAAAGTGGAATGGTTCCTAAGTGCAGTGAAAATGGTCCTACACTCCTATTTTTAGTGCTTATCAGTCATAACTTGTTGTGGTTTACTATACCAGAGAGACCTCTATTTTTTTTTTTAAAGGAAAATAAACAAGGTAGATATCTGCCTGGACTTGTCAAGTGCCAGATAAGAACACAAAACATGATCCAGAAAAAGAGCACGTTTTCTAGAACACAAGCTGATAGGAATTGAAATTTCCTTATTGTTGTTTGTTTATTCATTACAAATCTTTAAAATACTTATCTTGTTGATCTCTTACCATTTTTACTGATATCAAGTTCTCTGAGATTAACTAAGCTAGCAATAGTGGTTGGCAGACTGGAAAGGTCATTGTCAGGTATACTCAGTTTGCGTAAAGCTTGACAGTTGAACAGTTGCTGTAACATAAAAAGATACTTTACAGGGTTTCATGAAAAAAATCAGCTTGGGAACAATATTTAAATACTAAAGTAACAAATATCACAAAACTGCTTTTATTACATAAGAATTCAAAAATGCAGTTATATTTTGAAAGGCAGTTATTTGAGAAGACATTCCAAAGACTGTTTAGTATCACAAACACAGCTTACACGTGGTTGAAAAGAATCACCAGAATAGTATTTGGAAGCAGAAATATTCAAAACCTGTGAAGTTTTTTGTAAAAAACTGTACAGTCATTGCAATCAACATTTTGAAGGAAAATGTTATTTCATAGGTGTGATAAAAAATGATTTATTTTTGTTTTTGTGGCTTGTGCTAAATTATTGTTGTTGTTTTGTTTAAAAAAAACAATTGCATGATACATTTTAAAATATTTTGAGTGCACGCAGACTAAATTTGCTAGCTTTGAGAAAAAAATTGTCATTATCAAAATATGTTCTGTAAATCTGCAAATCCCCATGCTTCCACCCCAAATTGAGGATATGATCCTGATTTTTAATGCTAATTGCTAATTCAATTTTTATAAAGTGTCAGAATTTCCACTGTGACAAAAAAAATCTTCCTTTCAACCTGAAGTAATTAGTAAGTTGTGTTGAAAGCACCTATTTAACATATCTGCTTTCTTCAAAAACTATCATGCAGCATAACACACTTGCACCAATTAATAAAACTCATATGAAGTGAAAGTAGTCATGAAAAACTATTTCACATTTAGGTGCTTCGCACCTCAAGGTTATCGCTGTCTTAAACAAAGAATGGGCAAGGTGTATTTTTTAGATGAAGCAGAAATAAACGTCGGGCTGGGCTGCACGAGGAGGTGCCAAATGAGCCCTCTCCGTGCCTGCTGGCTGCAGGAGTGGCCTCTGCTGAGTTCCTCAGCACTCCTCCAGGACATGCTGCGGAGACGAGCTCACCAACGGGCATCTCAGAAGTGTTCTTCAAATGGCAGTGCTGTGTTTGTAAGAGATTTAGTCTTTCCTCCAGACTTCTGTATCAGAATAAATCCTAAGTACTCATCTACAGGCTATCTGAGAAGGTATAGCAATTTGATTGCCTCGATATGGCTCAGCCAAGTATCTGGAGGGGAGAAAATTAACACACAAATGGTGTGCAAATGCCAGCCTGGTACTTCACTCTAAGTAAATACTAAATCATTTTGAAACGGCTTTTTTTTATTTTTTTTTTTCTGCAGTAACTTTCTATTGCAATCCTTTGAAAAGAAAAGCCCCTGCTTTTTCTTCAAGACCATCTATTCTCCTGAAATCTGAGGGGTGATCACATGAAGGGGAACCAAGAGAACAAACAAGGCTCACAACAAGAAGTCCAACACCAGAACCACCACCACCTGGCACCGGGCATGAAAGGGCCTTTGGACTGAATAGCACCTTTGGCATGCCTTTTTATTGACACTCCTGCTTTTCTGATCCCACAAAATCCATGTGAGAACCACAATTTCTCACACTGAAATGCACTTGTTCGTTCCTGAAACCCGTGCTGCAGCCCCCTGCAGCCCCATAGCTGGGGCCAGCAGCAGGCCGCGCAGCACACAGTGACAGGCCCGAGGGGCGACACGAGAGCTACCTCCACGCTGGGGAACACTTCCACACTTCCATGCTGCCAAATCTGATGTGCCAGAGCAGCCTGAGCAATTACTGCACACCTGGGAGGCAAAACGGGGTGACACATTGCCGCCTGCAGACAGCCTTGATAAAGAGAAACCTCCCGCTAGAGGATGAGGAGTTCCTCTGCAGCACATCTGAGAGCACCTATTTTTTCTTTAAGCTTTCTTTAAGCATTTTGGACTGAAAAGTAGGGTGAGCAGTAGGCTCTAGCGCTTGCTCTTGATGTTTCTAGCCAGATTGCTGCACTAGGACTGCTGTAGACCCCAGCAACGTGCAGCACAGAGGACCTGCCGAATTTGGGAACACACACAGACAGCACTGCGCTGTCAGGCCTGCAGAATGAAATGCCCAGTGCCCATCCCAGCCATTGTGCTGGAGTCTTATCTTCAAAGACAAGGAAGGCTTGGAACTTGACAATAACCGAACCGACACAAGGCTTTTGAACTGGTGAATAAAGACATCCAATAAAACTCGTTTCCATTAGGAAAAAATATTCCCTCTGGAGAAATTCGGCGGTGTGCTATTGTATCAGCAATAATACAGGGGTGTGAATACAGGTATGCAGACCCACAGTTCCTCACTTTTTTTTTTTTAGCCAGTGGATATTCAAAAGATGTCCTTGTCAATTTCTAGTGCTTTATGGCCTTGCCATGCCATCAGGATAGCTTGATGTAATCATTAGACTGTATGCCCATGTTCTACTTTTTATTCCTTTTAGACTGGAAACCAAGCGGTGTTAACGCTGCTGTGATTTGAGTTATAACAATGGGCTATTACCCTGCATATCTCAAGTTCTCAGTGAGACAATTAAGCGTTAAATTGTAGCCTCTAACTTCAGTAGCATATTCGGCATTACTAATACCTATTTTATCAACACATTACATTTATTTTAATTACATTAATTTTGTCCATTAAATGCTAGTAAAGATTTTGCTGTATATCTATAGGGAAAAGATGCAGGGAAGAATTTTCATATAATTTGTGCTTTTCTATATACTGATTGCCAGTGACTCCACCTGCATCAAAATCAGTTTTTTTGTTTGGTTGTTTGTTTTTATTAGTCATTGATTCATTTGACTCATGCAAATAGGGACACACTTGCAGCAGCAGCTCATGATAATGAAGTCAAAGTCAAGTAAAATAAAAGTCTTAGCTAGGTTTAGGGAAAAATAGAGATTAAGATTACAGAACAATACAATAAATCATGAAGAAAAAAAAGAGGAGAAGAGAGGAAGAGAGAGAGGAAGAGAGAAAATTGGAGCTAGAAATCCAGTTATAGTGGGTAGCAAAAAAAAAAAAAAGAAAAGAAAAAAGCATAATTATAATGCACAAAATATAAGGTAAAATTTCAAAAAAACAATAGCCAGAATTATTTTGATACATGTGTTTAATGCTAAAGAATTTATTGTTTTTATTGGTTTCTAGAGTATCAGGTAACAGTGAAAGTAAACTAAGGTATATAATGATGTAATAGGGTTTTTTTTACCTGTGCTTATTTCAAGAAACTTTTAAACAAGATTAAGTGTTCTGATGACAGAAAACTTGAAAAGTACACTGCGAGTAACTTCAGAGGTATATAACATTTGGTAAATAACAAAAAACTGACAAGGTAAATTTTCCCTGGAAGCAGTTTTTTGAATTCACGTTTACAGGGAGAGGAAAGTTCTGCTACAGTAGATCACAGTATATAATACAAAAATTAATGTTAGGTAATATAGAGGCATTTTAAGAAAAAAAAATGGCATTTTGTCACCTAGAATATTAATTGAGCAGTGGAAAGAGCTTAAATACATAGCAAAAAGTATTTGAAGCACAAAATTTGAGAAAGAAATTATTTCGACTGTTTAATTTATGGTAATGATTAATAAAGGCTTAAGACAAAAATTGTGAATGGTATTAAGCAAGCAAACTAATGCTCCCATTTATATTCTAATATTTGTACAAGACCAAGACTGTTAATGATGTATTTACCCAAGCTCCAGGCTGATCAAAAGGATTTTTTTCAATACCTGGTATTTGCTTCAAGTTATTATTTAAAAAACAAAGAAAAAATAAACAAAAGAGGTGCAAAAATAGAGTCCTATTCATTTAAATCTCTCCAAAGTATGTATTTATCTGCTGTTTTGTTTCACAAATAACACATACAGAATAGATGATACCACAATGCAATGTAAAGGTTTCATTAGCATGCACATTTCAGCTCTGATTGACACTACCGCCTTTAATCCAATTTCATGATTTTGGACCCTTTACCTTTGGCCTCAGTTTATTCGTATACAATTACGACATATAGCTCTTTTTATATGTCCTGATATATTTGTCTTGCATTCTGCACTGCAATTTTCTTTAAATACCATGGTGATGCATACTTTCAAGAAACCCAAGACAAATATATCAAAAATCCCTGGCTAAATTAGAGACTTTAAATATTCTTCAGTATGATTCTTCAGTAGCATAATTAAAATATACAAGATTAACCATATGTTTTTATTAAGAGAAAAATAGCCCTGACGGTATTCGGTAACAGTGAAACGATCTCAACCACAACCATTTTATATTTATGGGGACAGAAAAAATATCTGTTTCTCTGTTGTCTTTCCTAGTAGGAGGAGAGATAAAGCAGTTCTCCATACCATTTTTCTGTGACAGCTGAAGATTGGAGCTACCCTGCCTTATCATCTTTAAATAATTTCTTGACTGACTGAGTAATCTTCAGTAATGAACTATCATATCTGAATACAGGAACTCTGTGTAATGGAAAAAGAACATTTTCTACTTTTGTAAATAGAATTTATATAAAATCTCTATGCAGTGTAAGTAAGAAACATGTTGGGAGATGATGAAGAATGGATTACATTGGAGCAATGTTTAATTAAAAGACTTGTAAGCATCTTTCATTATTGTTGAGAAAAATTCAATTAAGGAATGGATTACATTACTTCATGCTTCATTATGTAGCTAGCACCTACTATTAATTGGTTTTTCCACTACCTTGCCCTCTTTTGTTTCCAGAACACTTCAGTTACACTAACTTTTAATTCCTTACAGTAAATATTAATCGATAGAAGACCAAATTTAAAGATTCTGTAAGAGAAGTTCTACACAGAAAGGATAACTGAAGTAACCTCATTGCAGGACCTCATTTACAGTTACAAAAATATTAGGCAGAAAGTGCTAGCCTTTCTCCCACAAGGATAAACAGCTTATCCTGATGAAGAGTTTGCTTTTAAAAGCAGCACTACTGATGATCCAAATGTGAGACCATCTGCCCCGTATATTAGTGTATTCTTGGTCTCCCAAGGTACCAAATGTCATATTCATTATTTGTTGTGTGAGAAACTCTTCTAAATGACTATCAGTTTCCCAGTTTAAAACTTCATTGGCTTCCAGCTGTTATTATTTCATGAAGCAAAGAGAAGCAGGCAGCTCTGCTCCTCTCCATGCAGCATCATCTGCAAGAACGGTGTCGCAGTGGTTTGGACTCTTCAGAGAGGGCAGAAAAAATGTAAAAAATGTGACTGAATCTCTAGACTTAATAGCCCTGACTCTGCCCATGGCAAGCAGGTAATCAGTCCATGAACAAGAACTATTTGAGAGTTGAAGCACATGTTGAATATGCATTTAAGAACATAACTTTTAACATCTGTATTACAGGAAGAACACGGATTACCTTGGGTAGCTCTTCAATTTGATTGGCATCTAGATAAAGCTCCTCTAACGTCCGTTCAAAGTTAAAAACCTCCTTTGGCACCTGCTGTAAGCCACAGTGAGAGTAATCCAACACTGAAACAATCTCCTCTTCACCGCGAAAACACCGGCATGGCACCAAGCGGCCAATAATTTTCCTTTTGGTTGTCATCTCCAAGCAGGGCACTGAAAAGAAAGGGGAAAAACACTTTTCTGAAACTATCAACATGTTTGGAACTCCCTCTTTATCAAGATCAGAGTCTAATTAATTAATTTATTTATTTTCCTGAGGGGTATCTGTAATTTGCATGTCTTAATCTACTTTTCCACAAAACACGGGAAAGTGAGATTTGTCAGTGCAACCACAAGAAGCAATCTCAGTATCTTGTCTATTCCCCTACACTGGGATAGAAGAAAACACGTCAAGACCATCCACAATTCTTGCTTTCCTTAATGATGGAAATTAACTGTGGAAATGCTACACGTGTGATCACATTCACCAGACAGAGTACAAAGTGACATCTTTCACACTCCCTGTTTTGATCCTTTGCTCGGTTTGACCATGAGTCAGTGAAGTGAATCAGTCATAGTTGTTTGGGTTCTGATTCTCTGTGACAAATGCACAATTGTACCTCATTTCTCTGAAATCAACAGAATTCCTTGGCTTTCCACAGTTATTGGTGGAATGTATTCCTTGTCTTTTTGACCATACAAATAAAGAAAAGAATATGGAAACTTCATTGGTTATGAAACTACAATAACAGAAAGCCAACAGTTTGTTTACCTGTCATTCCTGCTTCTCTCCTGCTGTCTTAGGCTGTGGAAACTCAGGGAAGTGACTTAGCAGAAATCCCATTAATTTTTCTGCAGCAGAATACACTGCTGGGATATTTCACCTCAGTCTGTTCCCTAATTTCAAATCTAGATGTCAGTTCTACAGATTTTCCTTGCACAAACAATTTATACAAGCACATCTAATTCTTACGAGTAAGTTTCAGCTTATAATAGCTTCTTTTGAATTGAGAGAAGACTCAATAAGTAGATTTTCTATGCATCAAGCAGTCTCAACTTCTAAAAATGTCAATATCTGTTTGAGATGTAATGTTAACCAGTTTATAAATAAATCAGGCTGTTCTGAAACATATCACCATAGAGCCAAGAAGGTCTAAACCCTCATCTCCTATGTTTTAAACCACTTACAAGGTTTTGAGTTACATTTATGAAAAGAATGTACAAAATCAGTCCAAGCAAAGCAAAACTCATCGGGATCCTCTTTCATGGAAAGCCAGTGAAAAAGCAACCATGTATTCATGAAAAAAAAAATCCATAGAGATAAACAATGCAGTCACGCAACATTTCTTGCTAAAACAGCACAAATTATAGCACGTAGTGTCAATTTGTGCTCTCCTTTGTCTTCTCATCAATTACAAGGAGCAGCAGCTCCTCAAATGCAAGAAATCCAGTTTCATGTAAGTATAACTGAAGGGAAACAAGTCATTTCTGATCCTGGACCACTCCTTGTTCACTGAGCTGAGCTGTATTTGCATATGAGTAAGTATAGATACTTCATGTTGTTGCCTAAGCCATTATTTGTCTGATACGTAACATGAAAAAAAAGCATTGGTCAAATAATGCCCCTTTTGTGGTTCTGCAGGAATTTTATATCGTGTAATACGTTGTTATTTCAGAGGTAAGTAAAACACTCAAATGTTATATTTCCTTGTTTAAATTTTATTAGCTCTTAATCTGCCTCTAGCAATCCCAAGGAGATAGGCATACAAATACTGCCAGAAAAAATACTGTTTTTTCATGTTCTCAAGGAGACCAAGATGCTGGAAGAACAGCAGTGAAATCAGAGTGCAGCTGGTTATTCACTGGGCAGTGCCAACACGTTTCTGCTGGCTGATTTTGGCTTAAGGGTAAAGCTTTAAACACAGAAAAAGGTAATTTTGTAATTTAGCTTGACCTGATGCCAAGTTTGCTTGTATAACATAAAACTTAGCTTAATTACAGTCAGCTGATGCAATTAAAACATTTTCATAATAAAGCATACATAAACTTCTGAAAAGATAAAAGTAGAAGACTCATAGGAACATAAAAAGAAGCTATTCATTTTCAAGCTAATAAATGACATCATCTTTAATTTTTATTTGAGTTCTAGCAGTGGGATAGTCCACTGCAGAACACAAACACCACCGCAGTGAAAATCTGGGGATGTAACATGGCACTCAAATTTACTTTATCCGTGAACCTCAATTGTAAACATTCCTCATTTAAACTTCTCACACCAGGAACACTGGATCCCCTGTCACATTTCGTGCACATCCTGTTTCTTGGTTGGCACTTATAATTTCCTGCGATAAATTATTTTAGTATTCCCCCTAATTTTCCATTTCAGCTTAAACTCTGTTGGGTGGTTTCAAACACACTGGGGAGGAAAATTCCCAGATCCCTGCTCCAGACCCAGTCCCAGAGGAGAAAGCCCACCACCCCAGAAGTGCTCCCAGGAGGGAGAGGCAGCACAGCACGCTGCACCCAAGTGGTGGCACCCGTGCTGTGCCTGCCCTCTCCCTTGTCCCTCTAACCCAGTTCCCTCTCAGATCAGGGCTTTCACCAATTTCTGTGCACCAGGCAGATGTCACGGATGCAGGGAAGGCAGCGCTGAGGCCTCACAGCCTCCCACCTTCTGCACCTTGCCATATGGCCAGCATCCATGCCAGGCCACGGAGGGTATGCAGCTTGACCACTGACACCAATTAGCAACGTGTCTTCAGTTCCAGAAATCATCCCAAATGGCTCACTTGAGAGTACAAGATCAAAACAGACGAAAATTGTAAAAGCATTGGCCACAGAATAAGTCTTTCACAAGAAAAATGAAATTAGCTACCAAGCTGCACAGCCTCTTTGTATTCAAGCATAGGAAGCAGCATTTGCAACTGAATATTTCAGACCATGACACAATACAAATAGATGCCCTTGGAATATCAAATTATTTGTAGCTTTTCAAGGCATTCGAAGATAATGAACAATTGAACAGTGACATGTACTTCAAAAACTATTCAGAAAAACATTCTTCCCATAGGCATTACAAAGCACTTAGCTTTGCATTATTCTCCTCTACTGTAGGCAAACGCATAAAACAAACCTCACATCCCATTTTAATAGAAACCCAGAACAATAACAGTGTAATGGAACAGCTAGAAAATGTACAAATAGCGATGAATTGATAGAACTGCACTAAGAATAGCAATTACAACAACAAAAACATTAAAAAAATATTTTTTTTTTGCTTATACAAACAAAAGTACTTCTATTCCTATAGTACATAAAAATACCTGTAATTTCTCATTCAATAGAAAATTGTTTTTAAAAATTAGGACAAAAATGCAAAGGATAAACAAGTGATTTAACTACACTGTCTTCCTCAAAGGCTAGGATAAGACATGGGTTTTATGTCAAAGTAATTTGTTGGGATTATTTGGTTATCCTATTGGAACTGTCATCTTCAGAAATCAAACAAACAAACAAACAAACAGAATGCTATTTGGATAGACCAGCAATCTCTAGTAATCTCTGTTTAAGAAAAGATCAATACTAGAATAAGGAAGGTACTTGAACCAGAATTACAGTGCATTGCTAAGAATTTCCTGCAAAAATTAGTGTAAAGTTACTTTACTGAAGAAACCTGTGCTTATAGAACACTTTTTGGAAGAATGACCATAGGAAATCATGAAATTTAATATATTTTGGTGAGAAGTGATTTTGCATGTGTCTATAGTCTGCTCCTTTATATACCCTCTGCAATTAGAACAAACAATAATGCTGGAAAACCCTGTTAAAAGTCCCCTGGGAAGTCCTTTTCACACTGTTCTTTGCAGACATTTCAGAAAGCATCAGTATAGAATTACAAGACCTGTGATACAATTGAAAGAAGTAAAATTTCATGCCCTGTGGACTAATGGCTTTTAAACCCTTCATTAATTTCTACCCCAGACTAATTCCAGCTTTGGTAATTATACTTTTCTTACCTACATTTTAGTTCTTCATAATTTTCACAAAGCTTTTTTTTTTTTTGTTCCGACAGTTACTAGAAGAGGATTGCTTATTCAGGTCTTTGGAAACCCAACCCAAGTCTAGAAGAGTCAACAGGATGCCAAACTCCTGGTTTGGGGAGGTTGTCACCATATATACTGCTGCTTCATAAAATTCCTTAAAGCTTGTAAGTGATAAAGAAAGTCTTCCTTCTTCCTTATGGAAATACTAGTCCTTAGTACTTATCCCCTTTTAAACCAGTGAAAAAAATGTGATTCTCAATAGCTGAGTATTACAGGTCATTCCTCAGCATGAGTCACATGCTATATATTAATATATATTATATATATACAATATCAAAGATTTATATCACAGTCAAAAGTCAAGGAATTTCAGGGATGAGGCTGTCTATTCAGTTGCACATGTAAGAAAACTAAATTTTCAACAATATTCAACAGACCACACATAGATACCCTCAGCAACTTGGAAAGCTATGAAGTCTTTGTTCTGCAAAGGCAGTACAAGCAGGTGGATTTTTTTTTCAAAAGCAGAACTAGGATAACATGTACATCTTTATAACATGTACATCTTTATTTTATTTATTTATTTGGAATTCTGCTTAAGGAAATTCATTATCTTCTTAATTAATAAATATTTCTAAACAACTGCATACATAACACAATATAATGCACAATTACTCAACATTTCAGAATAACAAAATAAAAAGCAAACATTTTTTTCCCCACAAAAGCTTAAAAATGTTTTGGCCTATTTTCTAAAAACTTTTTTTTTTTTTTAAATACGTCCTTTCTAGAATTAGATTAAAGAAACTATGAAAGAAGCATAAATATAAACTGCTATTTATCAGCTTAAGCAAGCATCTCATTATCGTTATCTTCATTTTATTCTCTTACAAAGCGAATTCCTAATCTAAGCAAAATAGTAGTTTTATGGAAATTAATTAGAATAAAATCTAATCTCTTATTAATTAATGGATCTTTTGTGCAGTAAACCCACTAATCCCTGTTTCTTGATAATCATGAGAAAAGTTCTCCTTGCCTATTTAGACAAAGAAATTTGTTGTATGGCTCAAAAAACTTTGATTTAAAGATGGAAAAAAACTATCTCAACAAAACTTCAGTTCTCTTGAAAGA